GCGCTTTTTTGCCAACGCCGTCGTTAGCGCTTCTGAAGTGCTATCTGCATGGCTCTCAATAAGTATACTAACTTAGTGAAGTTAATAAAAGAACAACTGACAGAAGTGTCATATGTATTTTGGATTATTACATTTTGGCTGTAATTCTACTTGTGAACTTGAGTAAAGCTATGTTCACATAGCTGTAGTAAAGAATTCAACTTTATTGCAAATGGCGGCCAGCAGTAGATAAATAAGGCAGTGTTTGCCTTTTATGTGCATTGTTCTTTCTATGTTCTCAGTGCTCTTATACGGCGAAGAGTGAGTAGTGATTGGAGAATAAGTAGAAACTGTTGTGCTTTTAAGAAGATGGCCGAATAGAACGTAACAGTTGCCATTGTAAAAAACTTCAAAAACACTCCATTTTCCAGTTGATAAGGAGCTTCGTCATTTTTCTATTAGATTCCCTAATTTTTGGGTTGTCGGAAATAACCAGTATGCAAGCACCAAATCCCTGGTGTAAGTTTTGTGAATTTTAGGCCGCTCCTCTGTTGAATACAGGCTCACTCCACCTTTGGCCTTGATTTCTAGTTATTGCACCGTTCCATTCCAGTCGAGTCGGTGATTCACGGCGGTGAAAAGAGTACGAACGAACCCTTTGCTGTAGTTTAGGCTCTTTTTGTTTTTAACACCATAAAAGCTGTCAATACTGTATGCCGAGGGCCATTAGATTGCATGTGTAACCGTTCTGTATTCTCAAGCTCTTACCAGTATCAGTGCATCTTAGCATACAAAATCGTCCTTAATAGTGCTCCCACTTGCCAACTTCAATCAGTCGTTGTATTGAAATCGGCATCTCAACCGAACGCATTTTGTCTCTGAAACAATTGAACCATATCCGTCATTTTATTTTTGCTGTCGCGAGTTCTGCCATATTTCTCTTCCAATAATTTACTAGTTACTTTCCGTTTCTCCGATGACGTTACTATTTGCAAGTCACACCGTACAGTCGTTTTTTTTTTGTTTATGCTAAACTTAAACGGTCTCCTCTATTGGTTCATGCCTTTCCGTCTTCCTCTTTTTGAACACAACTTTTGAGATGTTTTTAAATTCCTATTTTTATTCGATTAAGTTTGCAAGCTATTATTCAGCATCCATCTTGCACAATTTCTGTGCTTAGGAATTCGTGTAGAAATGATCGGAACCTTCTAACGCCTTGCAGCGATCCTGATTTTTCAATTTCGCAAATACCACCTTTAATAATCTGCTCCTTTTCACTACCACTGTCGCACATAACTGGAAGTGGTGGTATCTCTTCCACTCCAATTCTGTTTTGAGAAGCAGTCCCTTCATCAGATTGGCATTCATATGAAATCATTTGAATTTATTTGTTTGGTAGCAGTGTCTTTAACAACGGGTGGCCATTGCCATTCACATGGGCTCGGAGCAATTTTTGGGGAATCATTATTACATAATGGGAAGCTACAATCACTGTCCCAGCCAATTGGTAAGTGGACTACAGATGCTGCGGGCCAATCTCTTTGAGGGTATCAGTACTCAGATTCTTATATCTTAATTTATTAACAAGTTTCTTCGAGTTCGTTGTAAATCTCTGTCATACTTAACGTTTCGGGGCCTTTCCTTCTTCAGAGCAACTGTTATTGGAGTCGGTTGCCCATATTATTCACGTCATTCTTCCGATGTCGTCGGCGTCGTTGCATCGATTCGAATTGAATAGAGTGGAGATCCGCTTTAGCCACAATAAAGATTTCTAACAAAGTGGTGTAAGCTTATCAATAGACAACAGTATTAATTATTCATGGAATGGTTTAGTGAAGTTTAAGAATAAACGTTTAGAATCTTATCATCCCACCTTCGTGCTTTGCATTCGTTCCAGGAAATTGGAAGACAGGTGCTTGCGACAAAATGGATTGATGAAACTTTCCTATCAAATGTGTCAATTATTCTCCTATTTTTCATTCCACACTGAAGTATTGATCTACCGCCTACTATTTTCACTGTGTAACATACAGGAAAAGCATGACTAACTTCGACTGTTCTGAGCGTTATCACTGTTCCTTCACTGATTTTTCAGTCATCCGCTTAATCGGATAGTGAAATGCTTTTGCGGCATTTCCATTTAGCCACAAATCATTTTCGTGCAAAAAGTGAATCAATGCGTCCTTAACCCTTTTCCTAACTACAAATCATATGTCTGCCGTCTTGAAGAAGAAAATCGAGAAAGGACACTCCCAATTTCGATAAGGTACTACGTTTTTTCTATTCATATTCACCTACAATATGTCACCTTGAGTCACATTAAATACTATACGAGTTCTAAGTGCACCACTGTCACTCCATTTTCCGCCGTAGCGCGCCAAGAGGCGCTTGCGGCGCAGTGGTCGGAGGCGCCCTGCAACACACCCCTAGGATCGATCCCTGCGCCAATGGCTCACCAAGCCTTTCATCCTTTCAGAATCAGCAAATTGATAGCAGACTTTCCTAGGAAGATAGCAGCACTGGCAGCACTCATGTCGAACTCTAGCTCGGTTGGGTTGTAGAACTAGATAGCTCTCTCATTATCGTGATAGCAGCCGTTCTGGTACCTATGATCGTAGAATTCGTCCTGTGACAATTTAACGTATTATTTACTGCCTACTTTTTAAACGGCAAGGTATACATTGTGAAATATAACTTCAATGATGCTGAGATATTTGCAAAACTCGGGACCGCAGGTGTATGCGGTGGGGAACGAACGCGATATTGTCCTTACCGGGGAGTAGCGCACTTCACCACCATACCATCCGGGTTCTTAGTTTTTCTTGTCTCTCAGCTAGTTCTATTGATCTTTTGTCATCAGTAATCGCCCTGTGACAGTTTTGCTTAAAATAAAAACTGCCGATGAGGCACACCTTTAAAATTTAGCTCCGAAATCCCGTAAGGCTCTCGGCGTTGATCAATCCCTAAAGGATGGCCATGAACTCAACTTCATTAAGGATCGCTTTCAAGTGTTGGAATGCATATCTGGCCCTTACAATGACTGGCGGTGGCCAACCGGTGTATGAAATCAGTGTTGTAATTCTCCCAGACAAGTCTCGTACCAATTTGCCGGTCTTGGAGGGATTGAAATTTGGTATGCGGAGGCGGCGGGTCGAAACGCTGTACACGCGCCCGTAATTGAATGCGGTACGCACCGAATTAACGTGTCGAAAACCGGAAGTCATGGAAATGGTGAAACTGATTTACACCGATTTAACCGGCTGCGTTGCACAGCTACTTGTAGATATACGATCAGCAGAAAGGAAAAACGAGTTTTATAAATAAGCGCAAAAGAGGAGGAATCAATCACATTTGTTGCGTAATTCCTGCATTCGCAGCTAACAGTGCCACGAATCTTTTTATGAAAAAAATTGGAGTTTCACATCTGGCGGATTCTACAGAATTACGTGTTACCTCTAGTCCTGTTGACCGTCGAGTGATTCGAGCGGGCGCCTGTAAATCTTCCATTTTTACCTCTTGCGTGCAAGAGTTGCCCAGTGGGTTCTACTCGCTTTAGGAACTCGTGGAGCATCATATTTTTCCTCTAGGCTTTTCGTGAAGAACTCAGACCATCAGTTCAGTGGTCTTCCTGCGGTACGTTTGACATTCCGAGAAATACAGTCACTAACGGCTCTTGCCCATCGGTTGTCATTCATACGCATTACGCATTCGGCTCACCTTATCTTCGACTGTTTGGCACACAGAATGGCATTTTTGATCGTTGACGGAGGTTGGAGCCTCGGATCCCATCCCTCACTTGTGTGACACGGGTTACTTCTAACATAATACTTTCGATGCTTTCAATAACGCTGAGTGACTTTTCATCCTGCTTACGCAGCGACCAAGTTTCTGACCCATCCGTTAACGTAGGAACGACCTCTGAGTCGAAAAAGTGGGCACGGGGTCGAGTGTTCTTTGTTTTCTTCAGTATATCCTCGACGCGCTTAAAATGTCCTCAAGCCGTTCGTTTCCTTTTGCTCAACTCTGGATCTGAGTCGTTCGGCATGTTGATTTTCCGACCTACATAGATATAAATGGTGCATTCGGGGATGTTCGTTTCCTTGAGGGTGAATAAGGCATACGAAACCAATCCGTTCCTCATGAACATCGGTTTTTTGAGATTAAGTCGAAGACCACTCTTTCCACAGGCTCTATCAAAGTCGGCAAGCATACGTTCCGCTTGGCTAATGCTTGGTGTTATAAGGACGATTTCATCAGCAAAGAGAAGATGGTGTAACTGCCAACTATCGATTTTCACTCCCATAATACCCCTTTCCAATGTACGCATGACGTTCCGGAAGGCGGCGGTAAATAATTTTGGCGAGGTGGTGTCGCCTTGCCTAACGGCTCTTTTGACATCATTGATAGTACCGTTGTAGAATGGTGATATCTTGGTTGTAAAATTTTCTACGGCTCACGAAGAATCTTTATGTACTGAGTAGGGACTCCTTGACTATCAATTGCTTCCATAATTGCTTCTATCACAATTGAATCCATGGCCTTCTGTAAATCAATGAAAGTGAGACAGAGCGGACTTTTGTACTCTCGCGATACTTCGATTAGCCTTGTAATCGTGTGGATGAGGTCCATCGTACTAGATCCTTTTCGAAACCCTGCTTGCTCGCTTGGCTGTCCTTCGCCCAGTGTTCTGTTAATCCTCTTTAGGATGACTTAATTGAAAAGTTTATAGACAACAGACAGCAAGCAGATTGAGCAATAGTTGCCGATAACGTGTAGGTCACCTTTCTTAAAAAATAACATGGTCCTGTTGGTCTTTCACTAAGTAGGGACCTTGCATTCAGACAGGTGGAGATTTGTGGAGAGCCGAGCCAGTCGGTGTACGAGGACTAGCAGATGGTTTTTTAGGTGTTCTGATCTTATCCTGTCTGCATCTGGTGCTGTTCAATTTTTCATCGACGAATTATACGGAGTAGTTTCTGTTACTCCGCCCTATGATTTTGTTTGTTTTGGAAAAATGAACTTTATCCGATAACCCTTAGCTTGGTACAACATGCAGCTTGCGTTTCCTTGCATACAATGGGCTTAGCTGGCTTTTTGAGGAGAAGTGCGATTGAACTCTTCATATATGTGGATTTAACGTTTTTAAGTCGATTGCTGTGCACTACCGATATGGTAGTGGTTTTCACTTCAGATGGTAGAGCTTCGGCGTAACTCATCGTGACGACTCCGTTATTTTCCCATGCAGATAACAATTGATAAAGTTTCGTATCATCCTCCTGAATGTTTAGAAAAAAATAAAAATCTATAAAAATGATGAGGAAATTGAGTCAATGTATAGGAAAGCTAAAATGAAGGAAAACGATTAAATGTGACAGAAGCAACAGATGAAGGGCGAAAATCAATCAATGAAGGAACGGAGACCTACAAACCGATGACCTCTATAGTTCAATCTGCCAACATGGCATCGTGAACAAACCTGTCGACCAAATTATCTTAAATTGGATTGACAAAGAATTAGATGAAGTGTAGCCGCATCTGAAAATATAATAGGGTTTTGAAAACATTACACCACGTTAAATCATGTGAATTAAAGCGTGAAGGACAAAGTGTTCGGCGTTGGTCGATCCGTAAAATAAGTGATATTCGTCTGAATTCACTGAGCACAGTTGGCGGCGATTAAATGCGCGTCTGGGTTAAACAATGAATTGCGGTGGCCCACCCATATGTCAAGTTAGTGGTGCCGTCCTTCCGGACAAGTCTTGTACCAATCACCAACGACAGGTGGATAGAAGACTTGGTGAACCACCCAGGGGTACCTGTCAAATCAAAAGCCACCTGTGAATCGCGGAGAACCTCTGACCACTGCCCTAAACGCACCCCACCAATGAGAATGCGAAAGCAAAATCTAGAAAATTCATCACGCCATAAGTATTCGTTTTTATTGGCTTAAAAACGACACTCAACTTTAATTGAAATAGGATTAGTAATAGAGTCGTAAAAAAGTCCTGGACTGCCAGAATATCCTTGCTTGACACAGGGTTTTACCAAAATGATGTACAACCACATAAGAGACCTCTCAACGGTCTACCGCCTCATAGTGGTTGGGAGGTGTTTCTAGAAGTCGATCTGGGATGTACGCAGCGGTGGAATCGTCCTTCGGCAGTGTCTCCCAAGTTGAGAAGGAGTTGGGCTGTTCCATCAGGAAGCCCAGCCAGAAATAGGCCACTGTTAGGATTCACTATCGCACTGGTATCGAATTACGGGCATGGAGGCACATCTCCCTCTGATCCACAAGTGCTGCGACTGCCTGTGGTGGTGACGACCTGGGGCAGACATTGGCCAGGCTGTCCTCGGCACTCCAGGGAACCACAATGGCTTGACCAGCAAACCTCAGGTGAATGAAAACAGTGCTGGGCTCGCACAACCAGTTAGACTTGCCATCAAAGTATCCAAATAGGTACCCATTTAAGGAAACGTTATATGAAAGCTGGTGTGTGATTATGAAAGTGAACTTCGTTTGCCAACAGCCATACCCACTTTGCCTTGCTGACGATATCAGTGATTTCATGCGGCATCAAGCAAGAGCAAAGCAGGAACAGAGCTGACAGCTCTTGAAGAAAGTTGACATTCATTTCTATCCCAAGAAAACAATATTCACCAGCAATTCATTTCGCACACGAAACGGAATAAATGCCCACAAATGTACCAGCTCCTTTTATCTGCGTCAAGCAGTTAGGGTAATGTACTAAGGCAAGCAAATTAGAAAGCTTACAAAAGCATTCAGAATGTAGTGAAAAGGACAAAACAGCAACCGGTTCCCTGATTACTTACTCGGATACTTAGATTTCCCGTCTCTTCTTTCTGGCGCAGTTGTCGTCCATGGTAGTTGTCTGCTTCGAACAAAGTGACGTCGGCGAGACCCATCCCGTAGTCCTGAAATCATTGCCAACTGCAGATGCAGACGGTTGACGTTAACCATGAACACATATTTACGTCTCTTTGTCACCCGTTCTTCCTATTGTGTAACCACGCCACCAATGTTTCGCACCAAGTTGTTCAGAAATAAATGAGCGTTTTAAAATATTTATCGTTTTAACTTCAACTGCGCTGAGATATTTGCAAAATTCCGGACCGCAGGTAACTGCGGTGAGGAACGAACGCGCTATTAGCCTTTCCGAGGCTAGCACGTTCACCACCATACAATACGGGTCCTTCGTTTCGTCTGTCTGCCAGCTAGTTCTAACGAACAGCGCCGTGGTGTGCCCGCATGGGGTGGTGGTGAACGCGTTAACCCCTGCAAAGTGTAATAGCGCGTCCGTTCTCCACCGCGAACACCTGCGGTTCGGAGTTTTGCAAATATCTCAGCATCACCGAAGTTATATTTCGCACATATCCTGCCGTTAAAAAGAGTAGGCAGTAAATAATAAGCTAAAATTTTTCGATAATTGCAAAATTCCAGACCGCAGGTGTTTCCGGTGAGGAACGAACGCGCTATTAGCCTTTGCGAGGGCTAAGGCGTTCACCACCACACAATGCGGGTACACCATGGATCCGATCGATAGAACTAGCTGAGAGACAGGCAAAAGGAAGAAAAGTTTTTTAAAGACGCTTATTTTTGTATTAGCCGGCTATTAGTACTGTAAATATCGTAGCGAATTACAAAGCTATTGTTACATAATATACTGCCAGGCTATGAGAAAGGTGAAGTCGCCGAAGCGTCAGCGGTCGAGCAACAGCAACAGCAACAACAACGACGACCAATACCAAGTTCGCATCAGCACAACAAGGGCAGTCCGTCAAACGTATGTACATATGTATACATGTATACATATGAAGGTTATACGAGGTTTTTTCGTGTCACCGAGCCAATGTAAGAGTTTGGTGTTTACTGAGGATTCGCTCATTATTGGGATTCAGTACACTTTGTCCATCAAAATTTGTAGGGTTTCATCGCGTTTTCACTTTGCACTTATTTCACGACGTACAAATCACGACTTATAAAATACATGTGTGCGGTATGTATATGTATTTATATGTGCATATACATATATATCCCACGTCATACTGAAACCCACTTAAAAGTCCATTAACAGCGCACTCATTATATTCCTTTGATGCGTTTACCAGGCTCAGGGACGAAGTGGAAGAAGAGGGGTACATACCTAAAGTACGATAAAAAAAAGATGTTTCTAAACCATAAAGAAGCAGAAATGTATGTAGCTCCTGTCAATTCTCCTAAGACATGGACAATAGGCCGCAATTTGGTCGGTGGCGTTCACAAAGACCAGCTTGGCTGCAGCTTTAAATCACCTACTATTTTCACGAGTTCTAAGAAATGATCGCACTAAGAAATGTGGACAGGATAGTAATGTTTTTCTTGTTTCTTCTCTAGAACATCCTTATACTGCGCTATATATATTAAACATCAAATTGTATTGCGCTACCAACTGGTCACTGTCCATTTCCGCTAATTGCCTCGATTCGAAAGTCTTTTCCAATTCTCCCTGGAGCTGCCTATAAAATGGGTCCTTTCAATAATAAGTCCTCAGCCATAGAAAGGCTTATAAAACAAATATCGGCGCAGAGATACCTTCTACTTAGTGTGTCACATCTCAGGTTATGAAGTGAACAGTGCCAGCACACTGCAATATTATGTAAGTGTAACCACTTCCAGTGCACATTTGAAGAGCTCGAGTCCGTACTTGCACTTCTTGAGTGAATGAAGACTCTGCCTCTAAAAGGAATAATGGAAGTGTAAACGCATACGAACATTCCAAGACTGCAAATTCCCTCACAGCTCCTGTTGATAAGAATGATTGCCCCCTAATCATGTACTGTCTGCCTAGTCAGCCACACGTTGAGTTGACGGCAAAGAAAAGGTTCGCATTTTTCCAGAGGACAGAACAACAGAGAAAAGACATAGAGAATCATAGAAAAAGGCAAACTTCCTCAACGGGTTTGCCTTTTTTCTATGATTCGTTTCCTTCAGTTTCTTTAAAAGAAAGCACATTAGGCTCCACGGCATGCTGTTCATCTCTTACTTCTTCACCGTCACGCTCAATAAAAGATCGAAGTTGAAGTTATCCTCATCTGATTTAATGATTTCGTTGGATAAGAAAGAATGCTAAGAAAGAAAACAATCTGACGGATGACATGAAGAACAATGATAACCTAACAAGTAGGCGAGCGCCTTATTATGTCATGATCTTTTAGAATCCTTCTCATGGGTCATACAACAAGAACTTTTCTTTGTATGCTGAAGACTAAGCAAAATTCAAATCAACTACTAGAACTTTCAATTATCAGACCTATTGATCAGCCATTACTTCCAATTTATGTAAGCCCGGAAACAATTCCAAACAAGCATATCGCACCCCGCATTGAACTTTATCAGTTGAAACAAGGAGCTATTAGTGAATAGAAATTTTCGCCAAAAACATACAAATTTCCTGTCGAACTGTGATATAAGCATGATTTTCCTGAAAGCTTGAATTCTACACAAACTTAGAGATAAAAAACTTATCTCAGAAAAATTGTTGCTCTTCTTTGGATCGGTACAGGGAAATCCCCTTCACGTTTGCTTTGGTACTTCGACGGTCCGTCTTCACCAGTTGTGCAGACCGTTGAAAATTTGGTTTTCTCGTAATCGTCGTCCATGGTGGTGGTTCCATTCAAGCATGGTGGCTCATACGAGTCTCAAACCGTCATCCGCAAAATAACTGCAGTTGCAAGCACACTTGATTAACTTTGGTTACGAACGCGTCCACCCAACGTGTGGATGGCCGCCCTAGAAGGCGCCTGTATTCTCGTGGTGTATAATCTGCAGTTCTTTCCGTCCATCTGGCGTCTGTTCCTGTCAATATGTGACCCGTCAGTCTGTTTTTCGCTAGCGATGTATATTCGCTTGAAACTCAAAAATGGGACATATTTCGATGGTCAGAATTTCGCATTCTAGCTAGGTATTAAGTGTGTAGGTTATATTTCAGAAGATATCGTCCAAGCCCTCTGTAAGGATCGCGCAGTACTCTTAAAGCGGTTAAAATATCAGCCTACGTTTCTGCAGTATGAGAGAGCGCTGGAAGAACCGCTGAAGTGAAAAGGTGAGAGCAGAATTTAGGACCCTTAAATTTGCCTGTGGCATTTTGAGAAGCCCAAATGTTGCGGCGATGAGATCCCGACTTTATATGCATGCCAAGTCGTTGTAGATATTAGTCCTTGTAGCTGCCACTTGGGACTTTTTTCATAACTGTCGTGAATAACCTCGAGTTTACGTTGCAATAATTTGTAGCATTAACAACTGTACAATAATAATATTTGGTACGTGGCGATATGTGGTTAAGTGGGTATATACGAGCGGGATTGAAATGAGAACAAGCGATGCAGTTGAAGGAAGTTAGGTGGAGTTGGAGCACTGAGGAGATGAGAGAGTGGAAATTAAGCACTGGGTGAACGCTGCGAACGAACACTTGAAGCGAATGCCTGTGGGCTAACTTGTTTTCCTTCTGTAGTGGGTGCAGCCAAGCCAGAGGACACTAAAGACTGTAACTAGAGAAAGATTCTAAAAGCTTTTTCTACTAGCACAATCTGATAGGGCTACATGTGAAAGGGTGCAGCTGCTTTTTCGGAAACTTCTTTGGGACGGCAGATGCTGGAAAGTACATTCAGCTGACTGCTGCTGATTCAGTACCCAAACTGCTGGAAAAAGAAGAGCAGTTTATTGAAAGAAGTTGTAGAATCCCTTTCCAGCCACGTGCGAGGCAACTGAATGAGATAGTGGCTAAGAGGCCATTAAGAGAAGATTGGAAGATAGATTTTAGTTACAGTGGTTTAGACAAGAAACACATACCAACACAGAAAATTTGAAATAAGGTCACCGGAAGCAGTATTTGAAATGTTTTACATAGAGAACATTCCAGTGTTCGTGAAGAATGTTTCCTATACCAAATGCTGCCCAAGTTGCTCTCCTTTTTCTGTATAATTTCTCCTCCATGTTATTTTCTATGCTTATTGATCATTTAAGGTAGATGTACGAGATGCTTTCTTCAATCAGAGAACCATTGAATTCAATATGTTCTACTTCGCACCAAGGATTTTTATGAAATGTATCTTCTTCCGACTTATGCGTGGTCCGACCTTTGTCCAACTTTGTTGAACTCATTGATCATCGTTTCGGCTTCGCCGGTACTCTTTGAAAAGATGACAACGTCGTCGGAAAAATAAAGGTTTGATAGGAATTCTTCATCAATACGTGTGCCTTTTTCATCACAACCGAATGACTTCATTATCCAGTGCACTTCGGCACTAAACAGCTTCGACGATATTGTGTCGCCTTGTCGAACCCATTTTCGCATAGGTGTGGTAAGGAGTCGATGAAAGCGTTGTATTTTCACAGTGCAGTTCTGATAGCAGTAAGACAGAGCTTATACTTAGGACGGGTCCACTCTTTAGTCTACAAGCGCTGATAAAATTGCAATTGTTTCGACATTGTCAAACACTTTTTCACAGTTGACAATGGTTAGAACTAGAGGCAGGTGGCATTTATGACAATCTTGGACGTGGACACAATTTGAATGTGGTCCACGGCTCAAAATCCTTGTCGAAATCCTGCTTGATCCTGAATCCCCGACTGGTTGCTCCTCATCCACTGTCTTTGATATGTTCCTCGAAAGGATAAACTTCGTGAACAGCTTGTAGAGTACACTTAGCAAGTATATGGCACGATAGTTACGAAGATCCTTTCGGTCTCTTTCTTAGGCAGGATGACCGTGCGCCACGTCCACTGGACTGGGATCTTTTCCTTTTGAAGGTAATCTGTCATATGATCTGCGAAAAGTACATGTAAATTGTGGCTTCCAGCTTTAAGGAAGTCGGTAGCAATATCTTCGGGTTTCGGAGCTGTGCGTGTTTTCATGCTTTCCATCGCA